GTATATGGGAGTCATCGGGTGCTATCAGCAACGCACCTATCCCATAACCCTATTGATTAGACACTTCGTCAAACTACATTGTCCAAGTCTCTTCCTCGACTTGCAGAATGGCTTCATCTAGGAACAGGTATTCTACAGCTTCATCCCCTTCTACTGGGTGATCTGCCAATAACTCCACTACAGCTCTCCCCTTGACCGACTTGCGAGTAACATACTTAAGATTGAATTTGAAGAGGAAAAGCAACCACCAGGCTAGCCTACCCGTAAGCGTTGGTTTCTCAAAGAGATATTTGATGGGATCTAATCTTAAAATCAGAATTACAGATTAAGCCAACAAGTAATGTCTCAACTTCCTAGTAGCCAAGATAGGAAGCCTGATCATCCCCGGCGCATGACATCGGAGGGGCCATTAGTGCCACCACCATCTGAGGGGCCATTAGTACCACTGTATCGACCACCATCAGTGGCACCACAGCAGCTACCATGTACTCAGCCTCCACGCCTACCATCGGTGCGTCCACCATCAATGGCACCACAGCAGCTATCATCATCAGCTTATGAGCCATCCGCAGGTATTTAAATTTGCTTTGATTTGCATGAAAATTGTTTACACATACATTTATTTATGCTCATTATATATAACTTGTTAACTACTCAACTTGGCATTATTGTGCGGAATGGTAACATTGTTCCTCTTACTTTTCTTGACTGGAACAATGTGCCTGATGATATTGTTGATGTTATCTGGAAGGATGTGAAGGTAAAAGTATATTTTTGTCCACAAATTTGAATTCCAAATTTGTGTTATACTTAGCCTTAAAGTTTGTGTTTTATAGGACAATTTGAATATATGTCCAGAGGAGTACAAGCCAATCTGCATGAAAAACTGCAACAGCATATGGAAGGATCACAAGAACAAGCTTAAGGCTAAGTATTTCAAGCCTAGAAGCTCTGATCCTTATCTGAAGGATGATGTTCCTATGAACGTTGTGCCAAGCCAGTGGGAACAACTTGTAGAGTATTGGCGTACTTCCGATGCTGAGGTATACAATTACGTTATATTTATGATATGTAATCATACAAATCATATTTACATACTTACATTTGTTGAACTTGTTATAGAAAATTGCAAGTACGAACGCTAAAAATCGGCGAGTTCACGGCATAGCTCATACCACAGGGCGTACTACTTTCTCTCAGATACGGCATGAGGTTTACATTTTATTGTTTTATTTTTGTATATAAATAAACATTGTATATTTGCAAATTATTTGGATTCTAATTTTCATATTTCTAAAAAAAATTTAGATGACCAGTAAGGGGGAGTCTACTGATAAGATGAATGTTTGGCTTATGACACGTAGAGTAGATGACCCAGAGGTTATCCAGACCTTGGTAGTTTCCAAACACCTTTGATTGTATTTAAAGTTTATTTTTTGTGTGTCAACCATCTTAATTTCGCGTATACTTGTGTGTCTTATTCAATACAGGATGAGTTTAATAGTCAACTCTCTATGCTACCTAAGGATGGTCGGACTTTGGAGGCTAGGAATGCCATTTTCCATGAGTTGATAGGTCATGACAGACATGGATATTGTCGCACATACGGGAGAATCGTTCCTCGGAGAGTGGTGTATAAGGATGGTGCTGGGCCATCACAGTCAACACCCCATCCATCGACTATTGATCAGATCACGCAGCAGGTTCGTGCTGAGCTAAAGGATGAGTTGAGGGAGGAGCTGCGAGCAGAGTTCTCTACACATTTGCAGCAGATGAGAGATGAGATGATGGCCCTTGTGTCACAGGGGGCGAGTGTGGATCCCAACAGACAAGTTCCATATAAATTAAATTGTTTGATAGTTCAATTTTCACTCAAGATTATGTATGAAATTCGAATATGATTAACACATTATGCACTGACTAACATAGGTTCCTGATGCATCGAGTGGCCACCGGGCATTTAGGGAATCTGCAGAAGACGAGAATCCATATACACCACCACCAGAAGATCAGGTATACAATTTATCTTTGCATTCTAAGCTAAAATGCATCTAAACTTGAATTCGAGGCGTTAACGCCCCAAAATCACCAAACGGCGTCGGTTTAGCACGAAACTTGGCACACACGACCGCCTAGGCACGAGAGACTTGTGGGAGAAGACGGGGCTCGAATCGGGTTCCCGGCTTGGGAGTTAGAGCCGGATTTCACATTAGGCAAACAACTTCCTTAAGAAACTTGAATTCGAGGCGTTAACGCCCCAAAATCATCAAATGGCGTTTTATGATATGTAAACATACAAATCAAATTTACATACTCACATTTGTCGAACCTGTTATAGAAAATTGCAAGTAGGAAAGCTAAAAATCGGCGAGCTCACGGCATAGCTCATAACACAGGGCGTACTACTTTCTCTCAGATACGGCATGAGGTTTACATTTTATTGTTTTATTTTTCTATATAAATAAACATTGTATATTTGCAAATTATTTGGATTCTAATTTTCATATTTCTAAAAAAAAAATTAGATGACCAGTAAGGGGGAGTCTACTGATAAGATGAATGTTTGGCTTATGACACGTAGAGTAGATGACCCAGAGGTTATCCAGACCTTGGTAGTTTCCAAACACCTTTGATTGTATTTAAAGTTTATTTTTTGTGTGTCAACCATTTTAATTTCGTGTATACTTGTGTGTCTTATTCAATACAGGATGAGTTTAATCGTCAACTCTCCTTAAGGTTCAGTCCAATTATATCCCACCCCCCGACATTTTAAAAATTACATTCCCACCCATGTGGTTAATAATCTCATTTCACAAACCTCTTTACTTATATAAAAAGTAACAACTCTTAGTAGAAAAATAGATAAAATTACATTGAAAAAAAAAAAAGTAAAGCAAAGCAAAGGA